AACACTGACTCACTCACTCACTCACTCACTCACTCACCGACTCACTCACTCACCGACTCACTCACTCACTCACTCACTCACTGACTCACTGACTCACTCACTGACTCACTCACTCACTCACCGACTCACTCACTGACTCACTGACTGACTGACTGACTGACAATGATTTGTATCGTGAAAAGCGCTGTACAAATAAACTTGACTTGACTTGACTCACTCACTCATTCACTCACTGACTCACTCACTGACTCACTCACTCACTCATTGACTCACTCACTCATTGACTCACTCACTGACTCACTCACTCACTCACTGACTCACTCACTCACTCACTCACTCACTGACTCACTCACTCATTGACTCACTCACTCACTCACTGACTCACTCACTCACTGACTGACTCACTCACTAATTGACTCACTCACTAATTGACTCACTCACTGACTCACTCACTCACTGACTCACTCACTCACTGACTCACTCGACTGTTTTGATGCTACTGGACACATTAGTAACCATCTCAACGGTTTGTAGACTTTTGGGATGGGATGTCCACATGCTGTACACATTCAATATATACAGTACAACTTGCTGTATACACACTTACCGTACTGTATAAATTAGTTTTTACATTCTTTTGGCTGCCTTGATTCGGCCTATATTTCAGATCTGTACTTGCCTACTAACATTACATGATATTTTAATATGATAAATATGAAATTTAAATATGATAAATAGCTATAGCTATATATTTTAGTGTTTGACAAGATACAATAAAGGTTTTAGTTTTTTACCTGACTCTTTAGTGTTTTTCACAGTGTTGATTTTGGGCAAATTGTATTAAAAACAATAGGGGTCAATATGACTCCAACGCACAAGTCATAACATTTGTACAGCCTATCCAAAACACATCCATGTGTCGAGGCTTTGCATGCACATTCATGATCCTAAATGGAAAATGCCCTCAAAATTTCAAGAAGAAATAAACTGTTTAACCAGTATTTCGAGCAGTTTGAAAATGAAGTGTGGGTCAAATTGACTCCAACACAACAGGAGGGATAAATCTGGCCCAATAATGTAAGCCACAGCTCCTTCAATTGACCCAAAGCTCTCTGATGATCTGTATTGTTGAGGGCTGTTCTCTCTTATGTAAGTTTCTCTCGCTCTCTTCTCACTGCATTGAAGCGTCAGTAGAAAGTGAGAACGAGGGCTGGGTTTGATCACCCCACCGTCATGCGGCACTCGCTAAATCCCTCCGCATGAGCCTCCCAGATAAAGCCCAGATTCACGCCCAGGAGAACTGGCCTGGATAACTTCAAACTCTCTGCTGAAAAAGAGGAATTAGAAAGACAATCGAGGCCAGTAAAGGAGTGGCTATCATCCTCAAATCTGGAGGTGACTGAGTTCAGATCAGACACCTGCTGTCAGACTCCTGCTGCTGCATGCTGACCGAGTCCAAGAGGAACACAAGGTCATTGTGGCATGCAAATTACAATGAAATCATTGAGTTACATGAATAATCTGAGACCTGGCAGATGGCTCGACCTTGCAAAAGGACACGGATGGTGACTGGGTGCATTGAAACGCTCCAGGTTTGCTGCTATAGCTACACAGAAAAAGTCTGGCTTTGGAGACAATTCAAAAGGGGAAGTGAAGATGTCAACATGTACTTTGATCTATAATACCATGAATGAATGAAATCTTTATCATTTTGGGATGCTGATTGTCACTCTAGTAGTCAAACTTTCTCACAAAATATGATGCATGAGCACGATCAAGATCACAGACGTGTATTTTTGATATTTATACATACAGTACTGTAGGATACAACCAATGTTCCTTCTCTTGAAGTAACATGTTTTTTTGCTTCTCATTTGCATAAAGCTGAGAATTTCTCTTTTTTGATGCTCACAACACCTCCTCCAACTGTCAATCCCACAATCTCCCACACTTAATAATCAATATCACTGAACTGAACCAAGAGTGACAGTCAACATACACTGTTGTTTAAAAGTTTAGGGTTAGAAGTTTTTTTTTTTAAGGAATTGATACTTTTATTAAGTAAGGATGCATTAAACTGATCAAAAGTGACAGTAAAGACATAATGTTACAAAATAGTTATGTTTTGAAATAAATGCTGTTCTTTTGAGCTTTCTATTCATCAAAGAATCAAAAAAAAAAAAGTCAGTTTCCACAAAAGTATTGGACAGCACAACTGTTTTAAACATTGATAATAATCAGAAATGTTTCTTGAGCAGCAAATCAGCAAATTAGACTGATTTCTGAAGGATCATGTGACACTGAAGACTGGAGTAATGATGCTGAAAATTCAGATTTGATCACAGGAATAAATTACATTTTTAAAAACAGTTATTTTAAACTGTAATAATATTTCACAATATTACTTTTTTACTGTATTTTTAATCAAATAAATGCAGCCTTGGTGAGCATTAGAGACTTCAGTCAAAAACATTAAAAACATCTTACTAACCCCAAACCTAGTAGTCTATACAGATTTCACAGCTGCAGCAAACATCCAAAGCGATGAAAATATTATGCATTGAGCCCCAACTACATAAGTTTTATACATTTTAGACCATCCTTTTTAAATGTCTGAGGATCCTGTAGAAATGTTATGAAGCTGTGCCAGGAGGAGGGCATCTCTGCAGGCCTCTCTGGTAACGTGGATAATTAGCATGACCCCTCTTTGATGCACCGTTGACTTTTTAATCTAGTGTACTTACATGGCAGGATAACAGTCACACTGCGTCTCCTGGTCCCATTCATGACATTATTAACACATTATGAATGTCTTCATAAAGCATTTTACTGAAAACCAAAAATGGTTCCAAAAATGGTTCACTCTCAAAAATTATGGTTCTTTATTGGCATCAATGGTTCCATGAAGAACCTTTAACATCCATGGAACCATTCGACTGCACAAAATCTTTATAGTGGGAAAAGGATTTTCAAAATTGAGGAACAAATGCTTCTTTTAAGAACTGTTCACTAAAAAGTTCTTTTGGAACACAATATGGTTCTTAGACTCTCAAAAATGCAGCTACTTTATTGAAATTGATGGTTCCATGAAGAACCTTTAACATCCATGGAACCATTCCACTGCACAAAAGGTTCTTTATTGTGGAAAAAGCTTCTTTTGATGTTCTTCACACTAAGAAAAAATGGTTCTTTTAAGAACTGTTCACTGAAAGGTTCTTTGAGGAATCCAAAAGCATTCTTCTATTGCATCGCTACGAAAACCTCCTTTTGGAAGCTTTATTTTTTAAGAGTGTAGTAGGCTAGAGATATTTAGCAAAGCAACACATGCAGACACTCACCCATTGGCCAGATTGTCGTCATCGTCGTCATCGTCATTAAGGCTCTTGCAAAGTACATCAGTATCACTCAGGTAACCAGACTTGAGGTCGCTGTCTCCGGCGTCTAGGGCTTCGATGAACTCGCTGCGTGACGTGTGGCTGAGGCGGCTGGAGCAGCGGGCAGGCATGGTGTGAGAGGTGTACTGAGACGAGGCCTTGCTGCCCGACACATAGCTGCTGCCCGTTGAGGAAGGAGCGTCGCCGGCTTGCAGACGAGGACTGGACTGTCCGTGGCGCCAGGAGAGAGGAGAGGAGCGGTTGGAGAGGCTGGAGATGCTACGAGCGTTGGTTTCATCGCTGTCGTAGCAGACGCTGCTGTCCAGACAACTATAGACGGAAAGAGGTGCATGCAAAACACAACATAATAGGGTTGTTGAGCCACAGGAACTCGTGGCCTACTAAAGAAAAGGATGCATCTGTGGGAGAATTCATCTGTTGAGGATGAAGATTGCATAACCAGATGCACCAGCTCAAATGAATAATATAACAGCTTCCTTTACCACATGAACATGGAAGAGCTATTTTTATGCACTTCTCTCAGGATAATTCATCAGACAGCTGCGAAATGCCAGAAAATGCACACTTGTGGGTTGAAATATTTGATGCACTCAAGGCATAAATAGCACACAAACACACTGGCATTGGGTTATTCGGTTAGTGTTACCCAGCTGAAGGAGGATTATTTGGTCTGTTATTCTTGCAAATGGGTCGCTTGGTCAATGTAGCTTGGTTGCCAGCAGGTCTGTTAATCATTTCTATCTGTTGTTGATGGGCTATTTTAAGACTGAGTGATTTGGGAAAAAAACTGATGACTAAATTATTAAATTATTTGGAATAAACTAATGGAATAATAAACTCATTTTTTAAAAAGAGCTCAGGTTTGCTGTGCTTGTTTTTAGAGCTACACAATTTGGCCAATACAATTATATAAAATAATTATTGTAATGATGATGATGATGATGTACTATAAAATAAAAATGTGTATTTAATAAAAATAAATAATTGTATTTCATTTTAGCAAAAAAATAAAAATAAAATAAATAAACAAACAAATAAATAAATACTGCAAGGAGCCTTAAAAACATATTTTTTGCAGTATACCTCATAATTTTTCATAATTTTGTTCTGTTGTCGGAGTATTCAAGGGCTGAATGGAATTTGAATTTGAGGAAGAAAAAAATCAGATTGCAATTTTTTGGATAAATATTACATTAAAACACAATTTTTTAAAGCACCTTCAGGTTTGCTTTGCTTGTTTGTAAGGTTGCATATTTTGGCCAATAAAATTCTACTGTGATTATATAAATCTGGAAATAATAATAATAATAATAATTATTATTATTATTATTAAAATAAAAATATTACAATGAGAAATATATTATTGTAATAATACTACTGTACTACTACTGTAAAATGTCTTTTGTGTCTTTAATGTCTTTTTTAAAGTACAAAAATGTGATGCTTACTTCTTAATTTCTATAAATTAAGCAAACATTAAATCACCATTTGTTTATTTGTGTTGGCAACAGGTTTAGAAATGCTTCTCGTTACACATTGCAAAAAGTAGTGCTGTCAAACGATTATTCGCGATTAATCGCATCCAAAATAAAAGTTTTTGTGTTACATAATATATGTGTGTGTACTGTGTATATTTATGATGTACATATAAATACACACACATGCATGTATATATTTAAGAAAAATATGTATTTGTATATTAAATATATTTATATATAATATCAATTATATAAATATAAATATATACATGTAAATATTTTCAAAATATATATTGTATGAGTGTGTACTTATATATATACATAATAAATATACACAGTACACACACATATATTATGTAAACAAAAACTTTTATTTTTGATCGCGATTAATCGCACTAGTAAAAAGCGATTTTATTTTGATTAATTGTTCAGTCCTAGGCTTTTCGTTTGGCCCAACAATTGTATCAATTGAAAAAATTGTTCAGTTTGACTCATATTTGTCATTTGCATGTATCTGAATTCTATATCAGTTGAGCTGATTATGAAATGGAATGAATGAATGATCTGGACTCCGGATCCAGCAGCATTGCCGGCTCTCATGGCAGCTGGCATTACTAGTGGAAGACCTGGATTGGCGATAAAGGACCACATGGGAGTTTCTAGACAGAATAAATGTTTCATTTCTCAGTATTTTCAAAAGACATCTGAAAATAACACACATACAGCCTCATTTCACTGCACTGGACCTTTCATAGTGACGGCGCAGCCACTCCCAAACCTCACGAGCTGCTTTTCCATTCGCTTTCAGTGCCACATCACATCCTACATGAAGCCAAAGCAAAGGTCCTGCTCTCTCCACGTCGCACACTATGTGGCAAGAACATGAGTTTTTCTCATTACTAAAATCAACAATGACTGTAATGGCAAAAGTAGACTTTAAGCAGACTTTACATTTCTACAATGACTGTGTTTGCCCATGCAAACTTCACCAGCATAAAGCCATAATGTTGTGAGTGGTTGACAAGGCATTGTATACAGTTGCTAAGGTGTTCTGAGTGATTGCTTGTGCATTGCTATGCAGTTGTTAGGATGTAGCGAGATGGTTCAGGTCTGTCCTTCTAAAATTTTATTGAAAACTGTTAGTTGGATCGCTTAGACAACCCCGAATGATACCTAAAATTGTGCAACTTTATTATAGTTAACTAAAACTTTAAATAAAATAAAATAGAAAATAAAAGTTTATTTTATTTTATTAAAGGTGACATATCATGAAAATCTGACTTTTCCAGGTTTTAAGTGCTATAATCAGGTCCTCGGTGCATCTACCAACCAAGGAAACGTGAAAAAGATTAACCCAGTAACTTCGTTTTGGGAAGCCTTTTTCTGCGTCTGAGAAAACGAACGCGTCAGATTTCGCTCCCTTGGTGACGTGGCAAAGGGATCTCATTATAATATTATAATAAGTTTACACGGTGCCATCATTGTGTTTTCGCAAGCGACAATGGCGTACCAGCTCTAATGCCATGCCGAAAGTTTGAGCAAAACATGCTAACTGTTCTGTCTTTGGCTGCACAGACGAGCACAGAACACTATTTACAGTCCCAGCCTCCGAGGAGACAACAATGTACTAAACGAACTAAATTTTATAGTACAACTATCATTAAACTTTTTTCAGCTGCTTTCCCATTTTTCAATTTTCATTTAGTTTAACATGATGTACTAAAATAACTAACTAAAATAAGAAAAAGAAGAAGAAAAGATGAAAACTTAATAAAAACTGGCAAAAGCACAAAACAAAATTACAAAACTTTTATGTAAATTTAAAACAATCTAAAAATAAAAACTAATTCAAAATATTAACAAAAACTATTATAGTACATCGATGATTCTAAAAAAACACTGTGTTGTTGCGGGTTTTGCTTAAAAACTCATCACACATCATTACGGAAACATGCTGAACTCATAAAAGGCTTGTTTGTGAAAGCATAACACATCACAAACAATTTCCTAAACAAACACAGCACATGAGAACTTAAAAGCGTCCATGTGGTTCAGTAATTAGCTAATCACATTTTCCAATTCAAGTGCACATCTTGGCAGAATCCAGATTTGATCAGCAGGTGTATAATGTGAATCGACACGATCAGAAAAATCAAACAGCGCACCTCTATTCTGAGTCGTATTAGGTCATGCATCTCCATGTCTTGAAGGCTAACAGAAGTATCCTGTTACAGAAAAGCTCATTATGCACACATACATCAGTGTGGCTGTGAATCTGTGGGTTGAGTGCGGTTAATCTGGTATGAATCATTTTTACGCCTGCGCCATCAAGTCTTTGGAAGCTCATCAGTCTTATACAAGTGCTGCTATTAAAATGGAGCTGCAGGTCTCAAGCGTGTTATATGTCTACTACAAAAGTCTTCTGCTCTGAAACTTAGTAGAGCAGTGAATGGTTAGCCTGCAGGGAAAGGTTTGATGTTAGGAGGAAGGACAGGTTGAGATCTCTAGGGGCAAAACTCAGGAAGGTACTGAGATCAAAGTTAGCATAATTGCTAGGCTAAGCACATCTAGCGTAGCACACCTGTGGGGAAGGAAAATCCGTTCATCGGGAAGTAGCATAGCATCTAGCTTATTCTGTAACTTGCACAAACATTTTTTGATTTATATGTCTATGAGATATACTGTATACATACACAATAAAAAATTATCATCTTAAGTTTAAGCAACCACATAGAAACATTCTAAAAATTACAAAGTGAAAGAAATTTTTCAGAAAGATTTTTTCAGAAAATGTAAAAGTCCAGTTGTGTATTGCTGTATATCTGACTGTGCAAAGCCTGGAGTCCAGCTGATTTCTGTGTGTGTTTGTTGTTATTCATTGATGGAAAAGTGTTTCATTGTGTATCTGTGAATGTGGCAGCCAGGTGTTTGAACGACTGAAGTGGAAACTCTCCCAAAAGACGTGGGAAGCTGAATGGTTGTGGAAAAAGTAATCGTTTGTGTATAATGTAAAACCTTGTTTATATTCATGCTCTTTTGTGACACAAATGTGCGTGACGATTGTGGAGCTTTCTCCCAGATTTACGATTTATTGAAAAGCAGCAGTTCGCATCCTCGTGAATTAGTCTGGCTGTGATTTTTCATGCCATAAACACGTGCTGGTTCTCACTCACCTCTGGCTGAGCTGAGTCCCTCGCAGGCTGGACATGGTTTCCTCCAGGTTCTGTCTGAGATCCAGGACATTCTGAACCGTCCGTTTCCTTTGAGACTCGGGATCTGCACACATAACGGACAATCAATATGCAATATACAGTAAGTCAGCAAAACTAAATATCTGCACCAATTTATCTCATTTTATGTTATTTTATACCAGTTATTTTCAGTTTATGTCTTATAAATGCATATATATATATATATATATATACACACACACACTACAGTTCAAAAGTTTGGGGTCAGTAATTGTGTTTTTTAAAGAACTTAATACTTTTATTCAGTAATGATGCATATTTCAAATAAATGCTATTCTTTTGAATTTTCTATTCATCAAAGAATCCTGAAAATAAATATGTATCGCGGTTTCCACAGCAATATATGAAGCAGAAATGTTTCTTGCGCAGCAAATCAGCATATTAGAATGATTTCTGAAGATCATGTGACACTGAAGACTGGAGTAATGATGCTGAAAATTCAGCTTTGATCACAGGAATAAATTACATTTTAAAATATATTCAAACAGAAAACAGTTCATTTAAACCGTAATAATATTTCACAATTTTACAGTTTTTACTGTATTTTTGATCAAATAATCTTCTTTAAAAATCATACCGACCTCACCCTTTTTGAACAGTAGTGTATTGTAAAAAAAAACTGAACATAAAATAGTTTACAACTAGCACACAATTAGTATCTTTGAAAAACATATTGTAGGTTTCTACACCAAAATTTCTTCAATTAGTCAAAGATGGCAAAAGTTCCCCAATCAGATTGAGAACTTTATGCGCCATTAAAGACCAGTTTGTACTTCCTGTTGAATCATGAAGCTGACATTTCAAAGAGTTTGTCTTTTGGTTTTAAATAGCCAACAGCCTTTCATTTACGTCACAAAGGTGAAAAACAGCTCGACTTGATCAATCACCTGGCTTTGCTGAAAGCTAACGGTCTTGGACATTAACCTCGGAGGCAGCACTGAACGAGCCAAACGCCAACAATGAGATTACGAGAACCAGACAGCCTCATATCACATCGCCTACACTGACAATGAGAAGAACAAAGGATGAAAGTCTTCTTTCGTCCAAATAAACAAATGTTTTCTGTTCAAACAGTTGTAAACTGCCACACAATCTCTTGAAAACCTGCGTGGGCGAGCGGTCAGCATGTCAACAGCATGCCCAATCAATCCCATGGTGCAGTTAGGCACGAGGCCTGGCCTGACATTATTAACGACTGGACTGCTTTACAGACAGCGAGAGAGAGAGGTGGTTTACAAGCATTACTGGACAGCAGATAACTCATGTCAATCAACTACATTCCCATGAGACAATTTACAGATGCTCTAACTAATTACATCACTAGACAGACTTGCATGGTGGAATTAGTGAATCAGATGACAAGATGACAGCATTTCATTAGTTTTTATTGTGAAGTATGTATATAACTATTGCAAATCAACCAGCTTCACCTGTGTTGTGTCCTGACCTTCTAAAAACGTTAATTTCTACCATAATGGTCAAATAAAGAGCAAGCACAAAACACATTTTAAATTGATAAATTGATTAATTTACATGCATTATGCATATATTATAAACACCCTCATATTACGCATTGCTACCTCCGCAGAAATAAACATAGTGGTGTGCCTTGCTCCAATGCAATCTCCAGCTCTGCCATTGGCTGCATGGGAGATTAAAATTTAATACATGCTCTTTTTCTCCATATGCTTTCATCTGCAAGTGCAAACTGGAACACAGCTTCATGTGTAGATTTTGTGAGTCACAAGGAGCAACACTGCACCTAGTGCAGTTTAATACATTTTAATATTATGCATAACATAAATATAACCAATTAAAATAGTAAATTCTAAGGTAAAACTAAATAAATTCCAGTAGTAAATTCAGATCAATTCTATTAGCAGTTTTGTCAATATATAATACATATATTTTTTTTTCCAAGTATTTTTGAGTGAATGTGTAGTAAATGTGTATACACTGCAAAAATTATACAGTATTTTTGACTTTTCCAGATAAAGCATCTAAAAAAAACCTTAAAACAAGACTTACTTACTTGAATAAATGCTGCATAAGATAAGACAAAAATTGAGTCTTGAATACGTGTATTTCCACTTGTTTTTAATCTGTTCATACTGAAAAACAAGTGAAATCAGTGCTGTAAAACGAAATTACAGATATACTCTGTGAAAACCAAAATTAGTATCTAATGCAGTGCTGATTCTCAGGTTATTTTTTAAAGAGATAGTTCACCCAAAAAGAAACATTTTGTCATCATTTACTCACCCTCAACCAAACAGCTGACAGTAGCCACTGACTTCCATAGTATTTTTTCCATGCTATGAAAGTCAATGGCTACCATCAACTGTTTGGTTACCAAAATTCTTCAAAATTCCAGGTTTAGAACAACTTGAGGGTGAACCATACTCAAAATATATTACTTAGAAATCAAGTAAAAGAAGGAACAAATAAAAAGTATATTTATAATAGTATATCATCAGTTATCAGTCACCCTTCCCTCTAGATATTGATATGGATATCAGCCACTTAAATACCCACAGCACAGTCAAGGAAACCAACATGATTAGAGTGGCCTCATAAAAGCTCATATCGCCCTCATAACTTGCTATACATATTCAGGTTTATTTCCAGACTGGCACAGAGGCCAAATTTGGCCCTAGCCCTTTATTTCCTAACATTTAACTGTCCCTCAACTCAAACTATTGTGCCTCATACATATTTTAAGCATTTCCGTCCCCCTAGAGATTTAGACCCACGTCCAGCTGTGCAGTACAATAGTAACTATGAATGCACAGAGGAAAGCAATGCTCCATTCTGAGTGCGAATTCAGTCTTGTGACCAAAAGTGGTGTGCAGATGTTATGTGCCACATACAACTCATAAGGAAGTCTATTATGCAGCGGTTTATTATGCAGAACAAATGAGCATGAACTCTGTGTAATTATGATTATAAAAAAGAAAGTGCTTTGATATAGAGATTCAACAGATTATTCTTAACAGAGACCTTGTGATTAAAAGATCCTGCATGAAAAAGATTCCCTGTAGCACTTTGTTTTTCTTCTAAATTTAGAGGAGAAGAGCTCCGCAACCACTCTGGTGTTGCTCGTAATTATACTCTGTCTATATAAAAGCATGCTAAAAATCCTAAAAGAATGCATGCAAGATTCCTATCGGATTTTCTGCTATAATTCAGAACCAAATTATAAATTAAACCAAACCAAAATTAAATATATTTTTTTTAAATTTAAATTAATTAAAATTTGGAATCCCAAAAGCATCCTAATAGAAATGCAGTGCTGCTAGAAATATTCCAACAGAAGTTCCATTTTTATTCTTGGTTCTTACTTTTTATTCCCTGCAGGATTGTTTTTCTAATTATAATTCCGATCGGAATCCTGTATGGATTCTTATGCAAGAGCTACTGAGAGCATTTTAATAAGGAGTTTAATCCAGGTCATTCGTTTACTCTCATTAGCTTTTAATCCCACCACCGAATTATACTGTGCATTGCCATGCAAGGAGAAGGAGGATCTAGGTTTCCAGGCAAACAACTGCAAGACTTCAGGCCCAATTTGGTTGTTTAAACATATGAGGTCTGGACATGGGTGAAATAGAGGTCATTCATTTGAGGACTGATGCACGAATGCAGGGCATGCTGTGTTTAGAAGACAGCACAAACAATATTTGTTTTAAATGCAACAAACATACATCCTGATTAATGCCATGGACATAAACAGTATCCAGATCCAATTATATATATATATATATATATATATATAAAATCAAATTCCACAGTATGCATAAAACTGCTAATTATCCCTTAGAAAGCCTAGGTGCATTTCATCCAGTGTGACAGGTCACAGGTGATCATGCATGCTTTTGTTCATGTGTTCGACAACAACATTCATCAGCAGTCAAAGGAGGCTGATGACAAACTACAAACCGAATTCATTATGCTCCCTTTATGTATTCCACGGCCTCTTCCTTTTCTCGTACCACCTGTGTCCCTGATATAGCAGCCATTACCTCATTACAGATGAGAGCAGAGCAGCAACACCAGCACACAGCACCAGACAGGCGTCGAAAAGCAGATCAGCAACGCCCCCGAGCATTCTGTCATTCAATCATCGGACACACGCCAAGGGGAATAATCTGAGCGCAATTTCTAGCCCACAAGTGCGAGAGACGGCGGATGCACAACAATGCACATGCTACCCAGAACAAAGCCCTGCATTGTCCAGCTGTCCGATCCCACCTTTAGAATCACGACAGCATGCACTCGGTTGGATATTTTCCAGTCAATCCATGGCATTCAGCAGCCAACTGCAGCTGGTAGTAAGTGGGCGTGAAAGCGGAAAAACCATACTCACCGAGTATCTGACTGAAGAGCAACTGCTCCAGGTCACCAAGAACGGTGACCACCAGCTCTGGGTCCACCTTGAGGAAGGGTTTATCGCCACCTTCCTCACCTTGACCTTTAGCCTCTGGGTCTCTGGAGCTCCCAGCCGCCGGTTTCTTCCCGCTGGCTTTGGCTTTGCTGGACAGGATATCGTCGTCGGACTTGCAGTCATCGGACGTCTTGCTCAAAGGTTTTACTTCCGCGTAAGGGCCTCGAGGGATCCGACTTTGGCCTTTTCCCAAGGCGCCAGGTGCCGCGAGCAGGGTGAACATCTTGGGTTTGCCCTGGAAGAGGGAGTGGTCAGATTTGGACAGGTTTCGAGAGAGTTGGGAGCCCCCCGCCCCTCCGCCGGCCGCCGGTTTGGGCTTGCCCATCTTCAGGTGTCCCGAGGCAGCTTTGCTCATGTCGTCGCACCATTTGGGCTCATAGAGTTGCATCTTCTTCTCGGCGTCTGTCAGCACGGCCAGGTTGGTCAGGGACCTCTGTTTGCGAAGGTTGGATGGCACCGGGATGCGCCCCTCCGTGCTGCCCACACGGTACACCTTCAGCTCGCTCCGTGGCACGCTTTGTGGCACGCCGGACTTGCCCCTCTTGGCAGCCATGCCTGCACCTTCCCTTGACGTCCCCCTTGTTCTGCCTGTCTTTTATTCGACCCCCAAGCGTCTTCCTCTACCGGAGAGCATTTAGGGCCGGATGAGAGAAGAGTGAGAGCATGGAGGAGAGGACGAATGTGCGGCTCTTTCTCTCTTGCACGGGAAGAAAATGCTAATTCCGTGCACCCTTTATTTTTTCCTGTTCCTTCCTGTCAGGCTGCAGCAGCTGCCGCCCTGGTTCTCCTTTTCTCTCTCCTCTTTCTCTCACTCCCTCGTTTTCTCTCCTCCCTTCACCAGGCCGTCTTGCCGCTGAGCCGTGCAGCAGCCAAATGACAGCAGTGCTGCACGCAACAACAGTCCCTCCCCCCTTTCTCTCTCTCTCTCTCGGTTGCATTTTCCGGTGCGTCTCTCTGCCTCAGCAGAAAGTGTGAGCTGATAGGGGGAGATGACAAATTGCAACACTAGAATGTAAACTGAATCCAGTACATCGTAGTGTGTATTTTCACACACACTATTTCTCCATCCCCATTGTTTTGCCCCTCCCCCTTCCAGGATCCAATGCTGAATACCCATTAAAATCTCAGTTATGTATTCACTATCTGCCTTCAGGAGAAATGCATTGCATATGCATGGGACAATTTACCAATACACAAATGTCATACTGTACATTATCTATCTATCTATCTATCTATCTATCTATCTATCTATATTGCCTTTAGTGGTATAATATAATAATGTATACACTAGCTTTATAGTTCTGCAAATAATCTAACACAAAAATGGCAAAAACATATCCAACACAAATGTCATACTGTACATTATCTATCTATCTATCTATCTATCTATCTATCTATCTATCTATATTGCTTTTAGTGGTATAATATAATAATGTATACACTAGCTTTATAGTTCTGCAAATAATCTAACACAAAAATGGCAAAAACATATCCATCTATCTATTTGCAATCTATTAACGCAAATGCAATGTACATTGTTTTTAGTATAACACAAAAATGCAATATAATCATCATTTTGTTTAAACATTAAGAATATTTTAGTTATTCCATTCTACAAATAATCCAACACAACATACAAAAGAAAAATGAAAAGAAAAATGGCTAAAAAAATAATTGCAGCATAAAGAAAAGAATTTTTTTTTTTTTTTTTTTTTGTTAAAATAAGATGGATCTGGCAATAGAATAAGACATATAAATCACACTAAATTTTCTTGATGCAAAAAAAAAATATTCAAACAAACAAACAAAAAAAAGACCCATTTTCAGCACAATAGGATCTGCAAATGATCCAGATATATTTGTCAGCAAACTTTACCTGTGCAACCCCTCAAAAGAAAAATCTCAAGGTCAAGATTATAAATTTAAATACAGTCAGAAATTAAATTTAAATACATTTAGTGGTGTTTATCCTCAAAGTGTATCCTTAAATGAGCCAATGGATCAAGACAAAACAGTCACATAGTGCACAGTGCATATGTTATAGATTTAAGTAAATTAAACTTGTTTCAAATATGCGTATAACAAACAAGCCAAAAAAATAAGAATAGGACTGTTTTGCAGTGTGGGAATAAATTATTTTCTATAATAAATCAATCAAGTCCAGATGATTTCCGTCACACCTCCAACCCATCCACTTCATAAAACCGCAGTGTTGTTTTTAGATGGTCCCTAGCATCATCGCTCATGATATTCCATACACATCTCTCTAAGGAGTTCTCCGCAATGCTTCGCTGGAGAAGCGTCACCATAGCAACGCTGCTACCTACATCACAACACGCATTAAGACGTCCGAGTCTCTCCACCGTAAATAAGGTAACAGCACGCCACAAATCCACTTTCTGTTTGTCTTTATCACTTCACAAACGAGCCTTGTTAGTCTGACAGAAGCCTGGCAGTGACTTAAACGAATCGCCCATAACCAGCCTGATGCAACTGACTAGTTTGGTACAATGACTCAATCAAAAGCTCAGCGCACTCCTGCAGGGGGTCCCGACACTTGGCCAAACACATACTAGTCCCGGGGCATCTGGGGTAATTCTGATCTTCCTGGACTGAGAAGAATGAGGTCTTTTGTTTGAACTCGTCACGAGTGGCCGTGTCGTTCTGTGGGGGATTTTTCCATTGACATCATTAAAAGAAGAACATACTTCCTGTGGACCGAACTGTTGTCACAAAAAGATTCAATAGTCCTTCATTTTAGTTAGATCAATAAAAAGCAGGTCAACTAGATCTAGATCAAACGTTTGCATTTGTACTGAGATTTCGGAGGTTTCATTTACTAACTTTTGGCAAATCTAAGCACAGTTTGAGACACTAAGCTGATTAAAAGTCTCCATTTGTTCTCAATTGAGATATTAAAGCTATCTAAAAAAAAAAAGTATATAAACATCTGAAAAAATATTTATTTATTCTCAATTATGTCTAAGAAAATTGATTAAAAATCATTAAAAATATTTATTAAAGACAGCTAAAAATGATATATAAAAAATTATATTCATAAAATTACATGAGACCTGAAAAGTATCCGTTTAACCTTATTATATCTAACAGACAACCGAGATATTACCAATATCTAGAAAAAGAGATATTAAAGATAATAATAATAATATGCGCGTTAAATATCGCATGCGATTTATCGTGCAGCCCTACTACTAATAATATAAAGATCTGAAAAGTATTAATTTAATCTCAATTATAAGAAAAATGATTAAAAATCATTAACAATATCTATTAAAAGAGGAGATATTAAATATAAATTGTAATGTGCAAAAAAGAGCTATTAAAAAGACCTGAAAAATATTTTTAAAAGAAACAACTGATATTAAAATATCCAAAAAAGAGAGCGAGAGAGCGGCATTAAAAAGATCAGAAAAGTACTAAAAAAGATCTGATTTAGGCCTAAACAACTGAGATATAAAGATATAAAATATAAAGTAAAAAGATATTAAATATCTTCAAGCATTAAAAAGATATCAATTAAAAAATTTCAAAACTCACTGATAATTTATATGCAATAAATGATCAAATTAATCTTATTATTAATTATTAATTAATCATAAATCATAAATGCTGATGAATTATAAAGTGATCTCAAAAGTCTCTAATCAACTTCACATCTGTCTAAAGAAAAAGGTGTTTAAAAATATCTGTTCTGTGATATACTTACAGTATATATCACGTAACATATCACTCTGATCCTACACTTACATGAAACAGCACTGGACTCTGACACATATTAGCGTTTTCTCTTCACGAAGTATGAAACACACGTCCTGACGTGTCCACCGCCCTCTCTCCTGAGAAAGCCAAAGGTTCTCCAAACATCTGGATCCCATCCGGAGGCTGTGCTTGGCCAGCAGCGCAGATGTTTGCAGACATGAGAACATCCCTTGGGTTGCTGGCATCTGTAGCCATTACACCACACTGATATATTACTCAGACCGGCTTTCATTCAGTGTTTGTGTGCGGATGTGACTGGCAACATATGGCTGTGTGCTTGTCTGTTTGTTTGTGACACAATATAAATCTTACGCTCAAAAGTCATAAAAGTATTTGTCTCCATGCGGTATATTAATGTGAAACATGTGAACACAGTCTGTAAACTCACGGGGTGTTGCAAATTTTCCCCATATCTAGGAATATCTAACTATCTAATAAAACATACCTGGCAATAAAGCTCATTCTGATTCTGATTCTGATTCTGATCTGTAATAAGACTCAGGATTTGCTTTGCACATTCTTCTACACATTGTGTGTGTAAATATATATATATATATATATATATACAGTATATATACCGTATTGGCCCGAATATAAGACGACCCTGATTATAAGACGACCCCCCTTTTTCCAGATGTACCTTTTGGAAAAAGGCTTTTTAAAAAACAAATCTAGTTTTTTTTCTCAGTAAAACACATTTTGTCTTCAATTATTTTCATATTGCATATTTTTCCTATTTTAATTTTTGTTTTGAAAGTATGATAAAAACTGGTAAAATGTACCAACAATCACATATAAAAAATATACACTTTTTGATATACCATTAAAAAAAACAAAAAAACAGGTAGCCCATCTGAATTAGGACATTTAGGCTATCCATCTAATACCAGCCTACCAAAATCTTATTAACAGTAGAAGTAAAATCTTACTGTAGTCTTCAAATCTGGGTACTGTCTTACGTTTTAAAATCACAAAGGGAGTTTGGTCCCATCAGGCTAACATGACAGTCACGACTCATGCAGCTGTAAGGTTTTCTGCTTCTTTTGTTTTACTCGCGATCTTTACAACACGCATTACATTACGTATTTCATGGCACACTCGTTTTATGCGTATTTGGCGCCACCTATTGTTGTGGGTGTATTATTGACATGTCAAAGTATAGACCCTGAATATAAGACGACCGCATTTTTTCAGATGTATTTCCAAGAAAAAAACATCGTCTTATATTCGGGTCAATACGGTGCATTGTGTAATTATTCTTTGTACATTTACTCTCGTTTCCTTATCATTAGAGTAAAAAAAGTGAAAGGCAGTAAAATTAAATGTAATTCAGTACAACAAATAATATATATATAGTATGTTTAAAATATATATTTAATATATATTTAATTATATGCATTTGTACTTTAATTCATTGAGATTACAATAATTAAAATGAAGGGAAGTGGAATTAATTCTGATTTAAAAAATTTCTGAATGCAAAATGTTTGAATGGTTTTTAAATTAGACGTCATTTTCTTGATGCAAAAAAAAAAAGATATAAATATAATATGCCTAAAAGCAACAAAATCACTGTTAAATATGCAAACACAACTGTTGCAACAGCTACTTTTATAAATTGCAAATCTTTCCACACATTATCAAGGCATGTAACATCTAAAACACATTTCTCGAAAACAATTTTTCACAAAAAACACTATTGCACTACTTTGTCAAAGTACTAAACACAATCCCAAATCAGCGGATTGGTCTCTGTTCGTTAGCATGTCTGGCCAGCATGAGCTGACAGGTTTTCACTAATATTTGAGGTCTACATGAGGTCTGACTGAGTCCATCAAGAATCTGAAAAGAGCTTCAGATGGTGGAAACTTACATCAGCAAAGACATGAATCTCCTCACATGGATACAATCATAATTTACCACACCAGCATCTGCTTATAGTTTGATCGATCTGAATCATAGCATCCCTCACACAAAATTACTGTGAAGATATCAGAGACTAACAACAGTCTCAGACCTGTTCTCATTACCATCTACAGCCCTGTATGAGAAAACCCTGCGGTTATGAATATTGGAGTATTTTTTAGGAGAGACTCACCTAAATCCTCACAGCACACTTCCAAAGAGTCTGAGG